GGTTTGAAATACCAAAAGCCAAGCTTCTGTCAAGAGACAAGAGCACATTGATAGCATTTGCTTCACACCATTCTAAAAGATGCAGTCTGCTTCACTAACCCTACCTCTCAAAACCAGTTTCACAGGACAGTGACCTGAACTTGTCACTCGACACCAGCCTTCCCTGTGGTCCTAAGAAAAGGAGCCTGGTGTGGTCCAGCGCCCTCCCTCTTCATTTGGTCGGCCTCTGTTGCCTGTCTGTAATTTAACCAAGCTATATTTTACACTTACGAAGTTTGGCTGCCTTCTTCCTTTTCGTTCGCTTCTTCTTGTGTTCCCTGTTCCTTCTCGTCCAGTTCTTTGGGTGTTTCCTGTTCCATATTGGTTGGCACCTTGAAAGTAACCTTGGATTTTTTAGGAGGTTCTTTAGTATTCTTATTGTCTGTAGTCACCCACTTCTTTAAAGAACTTATACTTTTTACTATTAATAATGCTGCTACAGTAGCAGCAGCAAGTGTGGTTATCGCTCCTGCTGCTGTTACAATGAACAGGAAATTCATTTTCTAGGGCAATACCGAGGAAACTGGATTGTACAGTATCGCTTCGACTCTGGTGTGTCTGTCATGCCTCCCTCCATTCCATGAGCGCACAGGAGCCCTGGGATACGCAGCTGATGCTGCTCTCCGAGGCGCCCAGGGCTCGGCGTCCCAGCAGGCCCTGCACAAGCAGCGCGGGGATCGGGCCCCGCCGCCCCCAACGGAACCCTGGCCACGCACGTCCTGGGTCCTGGGCCCCACCTGCGGGGCGGCCCTCCGCCTCCACTCCTCGGACGCCTCTTCGGACATCATCCTTTAGGGCCCACCGGCTAGATTTATTCTGGAATATTCCAAAACGCTCCTAGGGCAATTAATTTATCTGGCTCCATTTATTTATTCATGCTGTCTGTAAAACTTGAGGGTGTAAAAATGATTTTTCTATTTAAAAAATACCACTTAAAGTAAAAAACAGTTGAAGCCAGAAGCAAGGGGGTGTAATCACATTCCTTACAATTACTGGGAGGACAGGAGCATCTAGTAGTTAAATAATGACAGGATTTGGGGTCACAGAGACTTAGGTTGTAGTCCCAGGCTCGCCTAACTTTCTACCTGTAGGACCTTTGGCACGTTACTTAACTCTCCAAGCCCCAGGTTCAATCTGTTAAAATGAAGACGAATATACCTACTGGGCTGTTTTTATGATTAAATAATGTAAGCACAGCATCAGTGCTTAGCACCAAAAAGGTCAATAAATGGTAGTTATGGTTAGCAGCTGTTACAATATAGGAATGATACTGATTTATGTATATTATAGATCATGTATCCAGCAAGCCTGCTGTACTCTTTTATAGAAATTCTAGTACTTGTAGAGTTTCTTGGATTTCCTGTGTACAGAACCACATGGCCTGGAAAATAACTATTTTTTCGTTTTTAATTCTATTATTTGCTTTTTTTTAACTATGTTGCTTAAGCTCTCTAGAAAAATGTTAAATATCAAGCAGTAGTGATGAGCATCCTTGTCCCTAACATGAAAGTTTTGTTTATGATGTAAGAAACTTAACAAAATTATCTTCTTTCCCTAGTTTGCTAAGAGATTTTCTCTCAAGTGGATAATGAAACTTAAATGTTCATCATCTAATGAAATGACCTTTTTGTTCCCCCTTATCTGTTAATGCAGTCAATGTTAACAGATTTTTCTAACATTCTTGTATCCCTGGGATAAACCAGCTAGGCCATGATGGTTCTGATTGTTTTTGGATACAATGGATTTGGCTTGTGATTATTTTATGTAGGATATTTGTATCTATATTCGTGAGACTAGCCTTTAATTTTCCTTTCTTTACTCTTTTTGTTGGCATCAAGATTATACTACCCTCTTAGAAGAAGCCAAAGGGCTTTCCTCTCTTTTCTTTTCTCTGATAGAGTATTGGTCAGACAAACCTGTAAACCATCTTGGACTGGAATTTATGAGTAGATTTATGACCACTGATTAAATTTCTTTAGTGGTTATAGGCTATGTTTTTTATTATTCTTGAGTTAATACTGGCTATTTATGTTCTTACTGAAAATTTACCATTTCATCTAGGTTATCATTTGTTGGCACAAAGTTAATTATTCATTTAATTTGAAAAATCTCTTCTGTAGCTATATGTCCATCTTTTTCATTTTTAATATAGTTTATTTTACTCTCTTTTTTTTCTTGGTTCTTATCCTTTATGGTTTGTTAAAGAACCAGCTTTTGGTTTTCTTCATTTTTTTATGTCTGTTTCTTATTTTATCTGTTATTATTAATATTTCCTTCTATATTTTTATGTTTATTCTTTTTGTAATCTCCTAAGTTGAACACCTAGCTCATTAATTTTCAGTCTCCCTTGTTTTCTAATACACACAGCTGAAGCCATAGATTTCCTTTTAGATACCATTTTAACTATATTCCTGAGTTTTCAAAGAATTGAGATAGGAGAGTAGGCAATGAGGATAAAAATATCAGCTTTATTACTGACAACATTGACATTAGAGAAATTACTTAGGTGCCTATGGGCTTGTGATTATTTCAGAATTGACTCACCTACCTAGAGTAATACATACTAATGCTCCATTGAGGCATTCCTGTATAAAACTTACATCAAGGAGGAAGAGACTAGAATGTGTGTAGGTTCCAAAGAGGAATGAGAAACAGGCTAAATTATTCCTAAATTCATCAAGTCACATTTCCACCCCCAAAGTCTGTATTTTTCCTTTTACAGCCATTATATATCTAGGTTTACCAACATGTTTACTCGTTTGTTTACTTTGTTGCTTCTTAGATCCCACTCCTTTCTGGGTTCAGTTTCTTTCAGTAATTCAGCAAAGGTCTCTGAATGGTGAACTATTTTTTGGTTTTGCCTGAAAATCTTACGTTCACCTGATTTTTGAATAATACAGCTGAGTACAGAATTTTTGATTGGCAGTACTTTCCCATCTTTTGGTATCTATTACTGATAAGTTTAAATACGGTTTCTAAGTCATGAGTTTGTCTTATTTCTTGATATTTTTATTAAAATGGAAAGAAAAGAAAAAACGAGAGGAAAATTCTACAAGGTAGAATTTACAAGAGTTGGTGACCTGTTTGCTATATGAATTGAGCTACCTCAAGAAAGCAAGGGTAACTGCTGGGTTTCCAGTGTGGGTGACTGGATAGAGGGGTATGTAATTAAGGTAAGGGTTATGGAAAGAGAAGTCTGTGAATTAAGATGATGAGTTAGGTTTTAGATATGTTGGTGAGAGAAGCCTGTGATACACATAGGGAAAAAGATGCAAGAGACAGGAATATACATTTGGAAACCCAAAGGAGTATGTGCCAGGCTAGAGAGAAATTTGAGTGTCACTGGCATACAGATTGCATCTGAATGTAAAGGTACAGAAGAAATGAGCTGGGCTGGGGGCATATGTAAACTATGAAAAGAGCATAGGACTGGACCCTTTACTAGATTTGGCAAAGATGTCCCTTTGAATTCATAGGGAGCCCGTTTGAATTTACATTTAAGTAATATTTTACTTTCTTTTCTTCTAACTATGTATCTTCTAGGCTTCAAAGGATAGGATTTTAGTCTAGGAATTTTTATCCCTGCCATTCAGAATTTTAAAAACTTTGTTCCTCTAAGCATGTTTCTGTACACATTGAAAACTTTTATATTTTCTTAATCTTTATATGGGAAATATCCCTAATATTTAGTTATTTTTTATTTATTTATTTTTGTAGAGACAGGGTCTCATTCTGTTGCCCAGGGTGAAGTGCAGTGGGGCAATTTTAGCTTAATGCAGCCTTGAACTCCTGGGCTCAAAATCCTCCTGCCTCAGCCTCCCAAAGTGCTGGGATCACAGACGTAAGCCACTGTGCCTGGCCAATATTTGGTTATTTTAATGGTCTTTCTCTGAACCATCTGACAGTGTACGGAAAGGAAAATATTTTCTATTTTGTTTCTGTAACTTCTGGGTTATGTTGATTTGCTGCAAGAAATGTTTAGAGTTTTCAAAAGTTATTTTTTTCCTTGAGCAATAAATCAATATATTAAGATGTATAGTTTAGATTATTTTTCTTGAAATACACTTTGCCCGTGTGTACCAGGAAATTCACCTACCCCATTTTGCCCACTCACAGCCTCACAAAATCTTTCTATAGTTTATCCTCACTAGCTTAACATTCCTTTACCCACCAAAACTTTAAAATCTTTGGGATTTCAAATAGACTGTCTTCTACAACATCTCTGAAAAACAAGACAAACTCCTGTACGAAACCTTGGAAATGCTGTTTATATTGCTTCATTGAGAAGTATCTTTTTTTTTCTGTCTTTAAGCTAGTTTCTACCTCTGACAAAAATTCTGTTATCCTTTGCTTACTAATAAAGTTAGAGTCAGAAAAAAATGACTCATTTATTAACAGTTTCAAACTTCCTTTATTATTAATACAGAATACACAAACTAATTTTCAAGGGGACGTTTTTTGTTCCAGGATATATTCATACTAGCAAAATTTTATTTATTTTAAAGATTAGCAGATAAACCGTTTTATATCTTTTATTTTCCAGTAAGTTTTATATTGTCATTATAAGTCATTATCAAATTTTTAATGATCAGGTCTATAATCTGTGCTCTCAAAAGCTATATGATATATGATACCGTAAATACTATACACAGTAATATTTGACCTGTCTTAGAAAAGATGTTGTAGAAGAAAGGTTATTTATGCCTATGGATATAATGATGACATCTCTTGATAAGTTTTTAAGAAATATGTCATACCGTATGATTTTAAAAGATGGGAAAACAGGTATATTAAAAGAATAGCAATTTAAAAGAAGGTATTTTCATTTCTTAGATTTCAGCATCATACATTTTAATTTTTCATCATAAAAGAATTTATTTCTCAGAAGGCTCAAGAAAAGAATTTTAAACTAATAGAGATAAAATATACTACTTATAAGTAAAATGTCTCATTAAAATGAGTTTGAGTCTAAGTGGGAAAAAAACTCACATTTATCTGATTTTTAGTATTTAAATTCTTGAAAAAAGCCTATGCTTTTATTGTAGAATTAGCACTGTAACAAAATATTGACAGTTATAACACTATCAAAATGTATATAAAGGACAGCTATATAATTTGTATGTTTAAGTTAAATACATGCATTTCTCAATTTAATCTCCTGATGAACCACCTCCAATATTAATATTAAGTAATTCTTTAATTTTATCATATAATACCAACACCAAAGCACCCCCTGTACCACGAAGGATATTGGAGAAGGCACCACGAAAAAATGCACTGGTTCCCTCATGTTGGTATATCTTCACAAAGCAGTCTAAGGTTCCTTTATATTGCCGTTCAGCCTCACCACTCTATGTAAAGAAAAATGAATAATTGTCCATTATCTTAATATCTTTTCTCTTACAGTAGTATTCTATCAGCAGTAAAGAAA